GGGGGTTTATCTTTGAGTGGTGGCTACATGGACGAGCGCAACGTGGGACAATGAAGTGGGGTCCATGATGGAGGGGGCCGCGCTTTGGCGTGCCAGGCGCCCCACGTGACCGCAGCTGCGTGGAGCGGAGGCGCCGAGCGGACACTGCAGGGACGTGCGGTCAGGGGAGGCAGGGCAGGCAGAGCCTCAAGTGTCATACTCCAATGAAAATAGCTGTTATGAAAAGTTAAAAAAGTAAAATCAAATAAAAATTAAGATTTTTCCACTGATCTGTGTTAAACATGTCATTTTTCTGTACGATTCTAATCATTTTTATAGTCAAAATCGCCAAATTTTCGGAGCTCCGCTGCAAATACAGGAAGAGACGTTAGGTGAGGCAGTGACGAGCTCAGCCTCCCCTCTGATTGCGCAACCCCTCAGTAACTGTATGGAGCGTGGGCAATAAGCGCGTGCCTGTTACTTTCTCAGTATGTCACCAAATGTAATGTTTGTAGACCCCTTCCATACTCCAGGTAACTTATTTCACGTATGTGCATAAAGACATTTAGGCTCGCTGGTCTCGTCATGAAATTGCAATGAAAAAGCACCAGGGGAGGCAGCTATCACATCTGCCTCACTGAGGGGGACGTGTCTAACACGCCCCCTCAGTGAGGCCACGCCCCCTCAGTGAGACCACGCCCCCTCAGTGAGGCCACGCCCCCTCAGTGAAGACGCCCCTCCAGTGAGGACACGCCCCCCTCAGTGAGGACACGCCCCCTCAGTGAGACCACGCCCCCCCCAGTGTGTGAATCTGGCTCTGGCCCGAGCCAGTGCCTCCCCAGCCATTGACCTCACCGCACGTCACTGGGACACCGCCATCAGGGAGATGGAGCGGCGACGGGGTTAGCGCGTACGCGGGGAGCGACGAAACATTCGCGTGGGTGCGAGTCGCCCTTTATTTAGGCCGGGAATGCGATAACCCCATCGGGACGCAAGGATGTCCCTCTGGGTTACACACATAATTTAAGAATACAATATTTAGAAAAGGTAACAAAAGTAGACTCGATTAGGCGACGTTAACACGCAACGGTGTGAATTTGGCTCCGTAGAAAAATGGTAGCTTGCACTCGCGATTTTGAATAAATACAGATATTAAAATTGTTTAAATAAACCAGGGATGGAGACGATGCAGTGAGACGTTCATCGAGCGGTGGATAGATCATGGCTGACGACGACGACGATGACGATGATGTGCGAGTGTTACGGCGGAGATAGCAAAAGCGTGCCCCGTGCGTGGCACGCCCGGGGTCAGATGGATTTGGTGGCTCTTGAACTGTGGCAGCTTTAACATTTTAAAACGTCGGTCATTATTTCGCCGTTATTTACCGCGACTCTATTACCGCCTCTAAATAATGCAGCAGCCTGGGGGGGGGGGGGGGGGGGGCTCCGCTTTGCAAGCGTCCATTCGGGTCACTGACCCCGAGTGACGGCAGAGTGAAGGCCGTGTCTTTGGCTAAATCCAGATGGTGATGGTGAGCGAAGGATGGATTTTTAATCTCTTCCAAATATATTTTCGATATTTTTTCGTTACGTTATACCCCCTGTGATTGTACTCCCTGGCGCGCTATGGGTATTAGATCACGGGACGGTGAATCCGTTCGGAAATCTTGCGGAGCAGTGCAACCCAGGGTGTCCAAGAAATTTGCACAGAAATTTCGTAGACAAAGAATCTGTTTATCTAAATGAGCTCAAGCCTCCCGTAAAATCAGGCGACTTGTCTGTGGGCGACCCACCACTCTGAATCCCTCCCCCCCCCCACTCTGAAACCCTCCCCACTTTGAATCTCTCCCCTGTCCCCACCACCCCCAACTCTGAATCCCTCCCTTCCTCTCTCCCTACCACCCCCCACTCTGAATCCCCCCCCTCCCCTCTCCCTACCACCTCACCATAAACGCAGAATCAGCGTCGAGGCCCTGGTGTAGCCACTTCCTCCCTCTCCTCGTCTCTCCTGACCTCTTGGTCCTTCTTCTCAGATCCCTCTCCATCCCTTTCCTCTTATTCCCCATTCCCTCTCGACCCTCCCCCCTATCCTCTTCCTTATTATTTTCACACACATCGCACCCCTGACTCCTACCCCCCCACCCGTGGTGTGCCGCGGGTACAACGTTGCTCGTAACGAGAGAAGTGAGCGCTTGAGATGGCACTGCCATCCATGTATGCGACTGCACCCAACGAACGCCGCGAAATCCACACGCACACACAGAGGCGCATCGATTCAGGCGTTCCCAACCAATGGCTGCTGAGTGTTGACACGTGTGGATGGATCCCGGAGCGCCCGAAGGAAATCCACGCTTGGCGTAGGGGGCATCCCCCTCCTATCGCGGAGTTCTTTCATCGCAAGGCCCGTGGGCCGCTGGCGGCCTCCTGGTGGATTTTAGTGCGGCCACTGACGTGCGGCCGCACGACAATACGCAAAAGGTGAAAACATCCCCCATCATCATCACCATCATCGTGCTGCTGTCACACCCCCGATGGTTTCAAATGTGTGGCGGCCCTCACACTGCTGATGTCTTATCAGCGAAAGTGCCCCACCCCACCCCGCTCTGCAAACGAGTGAAGATCACTGATCTACGGCATACAGATGGGACAGATGATGTTGGGTCACATTTGCTGTACCGTCTTCTCCTGGCGAGCCATGCAGGGCACCTCCTCGACGCCCACGGGGAGATTCACAGCGTGATCCACCAACCCTCGCGGCTGCTGCTGCTGCCTCCGGCTTGCTGGACCACATGCAGCCACGTGCAGCAGCACAGCCACCACCACCGCCACCACCACCACCACTGTCACCACCACCACCGTCACCACCACCACCGTCACCACCATCACCACCATCACCACCACCACTGTCACCACCACCACCGTCACCACCACCACCGTCACCACCACCACCGTCACCACCACCTGTGGACTGACCTCTACACAAATAGTGGCGCACGTCACGTCACAGCCAAACTGATATAATTCCTAGAACTGCGATTTAGTAACGTTGAGTGCAAACGCAAACTTGTACGCATGCATGTTGAACTTCTTTCACACCGTACGTAGCCACCCGCGCTAATCAGAGGTGCGAAGTTTAACTCAATGGCATTGTGTAGGGTTATTTTGTGACCGAGCTGAGATCATCAGCACGCTCGCACTCGACAGCCTTGTGCCACCTTTTGTTCGGCACGATGTCCGACGTTTCGCTCTACATCCGTCATCAATACGCAGAACATCCCGATGAAAAAAAAAAACACATCTGAGAGCCTGTACAGCCCAATGGCGAAAACCTCCGCAGGAATTGTTGAGAACATTGCAGAACACGTGTGGCCCAAATCCCAGATTTCAACCCAGGCTCCCAGTGGAGCAATGCGAGCTTTGTGCGTATCTCTGACCCCATGGAGCCACTTCTGGTCGTAGCTGACATTTCTTATCTGTTGCTGCGATGGATGTGTGGGGATGCTGCCCTGGCCTTGCGTGTCAATGTTCTCGGTGTATGCAACACGCGCTCAGATAGCTGCTGCAGTTCGCTTTGTGTGACCAACAAACGATGCGAGGTGGGGGGGAGCGACAGGAAGTGAGGGAGGGGCGGCGCGGAGGAAATCCTCGCCATTCTGTAAACCGGCGCTTCGAGAGTGTTTGCAAAAAGGTCTGTTTTTGATAAATTACAACCCAAGGCTGGCACGGTTGTCGGCCACGCTTTCTGCAAAAAAAAGTTTCGGAGCTCGGGGTTTTTTGGTCCTCTGTCCTCAGATGTGGGTGCCACGGTGGCGAGATGTTTACTATTTCGCTTGGTATGCAGGAGGTCGTGGGTTCAATCCCGAGCATGACTCCTGTTGTATATGTGGAGTTTGCGCGTTCAATCTCCCCGTGGACGCGTGGATTTTTTCCGGGGTCCTCCGGTCTTTTAATCTCCACATTTAGAAACGTGCGTTCAGAGTATTCGGCTGCCGTTAAGGTCCACGTGATGATGATAATCCACTTCGTTGAGCTGTCATATGTGGTCAGGTCGTTTCTGAAAAAAATATCTTTACTGCTCAGTGTGCCTTACGTTGTAAAATAAAACAATAGTTTAGTGTTTTAGCTTTATTTGGAACGTTCTACCTGCCCGCTTAGATTATTCCATTTAGAAATAAACTTAAACCCTACTTATTGTCTAGGATATGCGAGGTAAAGTAGAGATGACTATTTTTTTTCCGTATGACACTCTGAAGCCATTAACGTGGAGGTGTTGCCCGGAAGTGCTGTACGACTCTCCGATGCGTGTTTGCGTTGTGGCGCGTGTCGGCCGACATGGTGTGCCACGTGGAGCGAAACGTCGGACATCGTGCCGAGCAACAGCACGCGGCACGAGCGGACAACATCGCCGATGGATATTATTCATTGTCACTTTTGAAAACGATCTTCGCAGAGTAAATGTAACTCGAGAACTATTAAAATGTCACGATACTTTACGAGTTTACGGGAATGGCAAATATTTCTGTGTGTGAAACTTGCACACACACGCGCGCAGTAAATACGCGGCTCGCTCATTTATATAAAAAACATAAATAGGGGATATTCAAAGTTATGTTTGCTATTAGTAACGCGTTGTATAACAGCACCCAGTCACTTGCACGTCTCCCTGAGAAAACCCTCGCAACCAAACGGTGGGGAGCGAGTGACCATAAGCTTCGTTCCCAAAAATAAAACCGTCTCGAATTTTTACACTGACGCCTCTGTTGTGTCGCCCCCCCCCTCCACTACATTAACAACAACAACAACTAAAATCCATCGGCTCAATCGCGGCCGCTGTCGAGTGGCGGTCGCAGATCGCTGCGAAAATGCCTCTGGGTGCGCGTGGGCGTTCTTTTTTTTGGAAGCTGAAAATAAACACAAATCCTCACCCTCCCCCCCCGTCCCTGGTTTCCCTGCCGAGTTGGTACGCGCCACCATTTGACTCGACAAAAGAATGCGGAGTGAAGATTGGGAGGCGCAGAGCGGAGCGTGGCTTTACCGGGGAGGCTCCGCCAATAGCGCCACTCGCCGTTGGCTGTAAGGAACTCGCGGGCACGGTGAGTTGATGATGATGATGCTTTTCGCGTCTTGTTTGTTCGGCTCTTTGAGCAACAAATGGGTCGTGCGTTTATCCTGCTGCTGCTCCTGCTGCTGATGCTTTGTCCACTGATGAATCCCGTGCGCCTTCAGTTTCCATTCTAGTTGTGAGTACTCAGTAAACAATGTCAACGTTGGTTCAACGTTGACATGTGGCTGGAACCGTTGCACCAACGTTGCCCCGACGTTTGGCCCCTGCGTTCCATGTTTACTGGGTGGAGAGGAGGATGATGATGATGTCTAAAAGTCGCCTGTACAGTGTAAGGATCGCCTTGGCTCGGCTTGGCATCCGAATGCACATTGCTTGTGAAGCCGACTCGTTGAATCTCGCGCGCGCGGTCCCCGTATGCCCAGCGTCCCCGTGTTGGACATTCGCTCTCGTGTTGCTTCCCGTGTCCGCTTAAAGTGGCACCGTTGACAGGCCCGCCCGCCCGCTGTAAGTTTTAGCTGCCTCAAAGATTGTAATTCGACGTTTTTTTATTGAGCGTCCCTATTATTACGGAGAGGGAGGAGGGGTGTTCTCGTTCGTTAAACGAGGTTGTGGCCTTGCAGGTTTTTGAATCGCTCCATTAATCCAGACCCAATTAGACCTCGCGAAATGCGAATGTGACCTTTGATGACGGGAGCCTCCCACCAGGGAGAGGCAGCTCCAAGCATAAGAGGGATAATTCACGTTGTGCGTTTTTTTAATCCTGTCCTTATTCGCGCTCAGATGCGACGAGAATGCACGTGATGCGTCTTCAGTTATCATCACGGTGGTGAGATGTTAACTACCTCGCCTGGCATACAGGAGGTCGTGGGCTCGATCCCGACCCTGATGCCTGTTGTATATTTAGAGTTTGCATGTTTCTCTCCCCGTGGTCGCGTGGGGTTTTCTCCGGTTTTTTCCCCTCCACGTTCAGAAACATACTCTTCAGAGTATTTGGCTGCTATAACTGTCCACGTGATAAGCCACTTCGTTGAGCTATCATTTGTGACCATGTTCTACCCTCTGTTGGACGAAAGCCTCCCCGTGTTATGTCACCGTGGTTACTGCAATGCCACGATGCGTCTCACCGCTGCACGCTAAGCTCATCCCATCGCGCACAACACGCCCGTGGTGGGTCGTGCTCGCGTGCGCTCTCCCTCCTTCAGCTGCCGTTCCGTCCTCGGTCTCGTTGCCGTCCCCTTCTCCTCCCGACGCGTCCAGCCCAAAGCCGCGCTTTGACTTTCATGCAAACTCCAACGAGCCGTCTCTGATTTTGTTCCATTGTAGGAACTCGCGCGCGTGCCGTTTTTTGTTTTGTTGCAACGCCCCAGCGTACTGCGTAAGTGGAGTGAACGTTTTAATTTCCACCGCTACATTAAGAAGAAACCACGCGAACACCCGTGTAGATTCAGTATTCACGTTCAGAGCGGTAATGTTTTCACACCACGGCAGCGTTTCTTCACCGGACCGAAATAACATTGCCCCCTCCTCTCTCTCTCGTCGCCCACCCCTTTGTTTGCTGGCACCGGCAGATGTGGTATTGTTGTGCTGGGCGTTGTCCCGGACTTCGCGTGGGTTTGGCGTCGCTCTCGGCCTGGTGTTACCCGCGATCCTCGCGCAGTCATTCGACGCCAATCATTTATTGTGCGGTAGCGAGGGATCGCACAAAAACCACGGCATGCCGGGGCAACGCACGCCCTTCATTAGAGCTCTCACCCCCGTGGCAGTCGACGTTGAGCCTCCCTAGTCTCGCCACAGTTTCAATTTCTAAGCGATGCAATTATCATCTATCATCATCATTGTCACACCGATCGTCGACTGCCATGATGCGTCCACTCCTGGATGAAGAACTTCCCAGGCTGTCGCCGTTGCTCGCGGTCTTGCCCACACGCGAGCTGATTGTGTCGCTCCATCTCCACGTGGGATTTCATCTCCATGCACACAGTCTGAAGAAAAGTGAGCAGAGAAGTGTGTAGGGAGAGAGCTGCACACTGAGAGACAGAAAGAGGATCACGTGGATTGGATAACATATGCGTGGCACAGACATACAATTTGCTGCTAGGAAATTAAGTGTGCATGGGTAGGACACGTCTCTAGATGTGTGACGATGGTCAGTGGTCGAGACTAATCATGGAATGGCAACCAACGGTGGGAATATATGGTGGAGAGGACCTCCGCCCACGGAAATGGAGCGATTAAATCGGCTCACGTGCAGGAAATAGACGGGTTGTTGCATAGCTGGACCTTGAGAGATGGTGACGGGTTCGCGGAAGCCTTCATCTAGCATTGGGTAGATGATGGCTGATGAAGAATGCCTTAAACATGAAACATTCTTCTCTGTCTTCTCCACTGTTGGAACAATGCGTTCATGTCACTTCAATGAGGTCGGTTAACCTTCATAAAAAATAACAGTCTAGGAAAAACGGGAGGACTGCATTTTTCACGGGACATGAAACCAGACGTCCAATGAGATTCTGGGCTCTGGAGACCCAACATCCGTCTGTGTGGACGAGGTCACCGCATGCTGACAGGTGGATATCATAAATATCTGTCGTGAAAACAATTGTCGCAAGGGCCCGGGTGACTGACACGCACAGAGAGAGAGAGAGAGAGCGCGGATAACACAAAACGAACGAGTTAATGACTTCCGCTGATAGACGCGCCCGTTCGCCGTGAGGTTGTGTGGGCGGCCGCACGGTAATCACATCGGGTCATTATCCAGATGTAACCGCTGACAAACCAGTGGCATACTTATTGAGTGCGCAGGCGTAAGGTGCGCGTCACCACCGCGCTGGGGTCCATGGGCCATGGGGGCCCAGGTGCCGGGCTCTGAAAGAGGGGTGGGAATTCAGACAGAGGGGGTTCGGGGGGGGGGGGGCTATTTCATTCCTCGCATGAGGGCTCATGCCAACCACGCTACGCCGCTGTTGACTCAAAATGTGTTTTACCACGGTTGCTTTAAAATCCTGGAATTACAGGGCCCATTTTGGCCAACGTTTGCAGCACAATCGATAGCCAGTGTGCTACGTTTGCTACACCTTGTCATTCCAGGTGGGTGGTTGTTCTCAGCGCTGGACCATTTGTAAATCACGCACAGCAAAGAGAAAGATCCCCCGTGTCGCCTTAACAGACTGTTGGGGCAAGTGCTGTTAGCGAGCACCTACGAAGGCCGGCATGGCACGCAAGTAGGTGGGTGGCCAACACCACGCCTTTGCCTCCCCATTGCTGATGTTTACACACTGGCCCAGGACAAGTCCAGACGCCACTCAATGCTGACGTTACCCATGGCCGGGAATTCAATTATGGTGCTCAAGTTAGTAGGGCAGCGTGCCGATTGTTACAGAGGTTCACGGTAGAATCCGAAATGCGGCCCCGAATAATACTGCGGATGAATTAAACCATTAAATAGGCAACGTCTGTGTCACGGTATATGCTAAAGGGCCCATTACGTAATTTGAAAAGAGCAGGCCGCTGTGTGAAGATGATCCAATTTTGCCAAATTTGAAAAAAATAAAAAGTAGACGCAAATAACTTAATTGGGAAGCGCATCTCAATTGTGGGTCCCTCCTGTGAAAACTTGGCAGGAACTTCCTGAAAAAAATAGTCGTGAAGACTCAGTGAGGCTATCCTGGATAATTAAGCGTAAATAATGAGTACTAATTACACATAGGTACACGGACTCGCATACACACTCTGGAGTTTAGAGTTTATAGCTCGGCTAGCCCATGAGACTCGTGTTTCTCTTGCAACGGAGACCTGGATGGCAAACAACAATGTACAGCACAAAACACAATTTCAGTAAAAGCAAACACCATGCTTATGAAAATAAATAACAAACATAAAAAAGCAGGCCAGAAAATGCTAGCCAAAAAAAATGAAATAAGCACGTGTCCAAGAACAATTAAACAAACGTTTATTTTGCTAAACATTTAACACAAAAACATGGAAAAGCTTCAGAGCTCTGATAGAGCACCAACCACCGGAGCCAACCGGGCGACTTGCAGTGTTGAAGCCAACGACGCTGGCTACGTTTGAAAAGTAATAATAATAGATTTCGAATTAAAGCTTTCGTGACTGCAGGGATTCATCTTCTTGGTTGTTTCGGTAAAGTCACGTAGAATGGAAATAATAAAATAATAAAAATAAAACATAATAAAATAATTCTCACGACGTTTCGGCCACAACGCAAGCAGCCGTCCTCAGGTGGAGAACAGGTCTGTCGAGAAGACTGTCATTCAGACTCTGTCTTCTCGACAGACCTGTTCTCCACCTGAGGACGGCTGCTTGCGTTGTGGCCGAAACGTCGTGAGAATTATTTTATTATGTTTTATTTTTATTATTTTATTATTTCCATTCTACGTGACTTTACCGAAACAACCAAGAAAATAATAATACTAGGTTTTATATCTATGGATATATATATAAAACTCTCAACCCGAGCTACAAATGATCTGACACTTGCAAAGTCCTTGTACTGTTTGCCTTTTGGCGTTCTCTGGTCCAACACCGGTAGTGAGACGAGGTCATAAAGAAGGCTGTCTCTGGTGTAGGCCAATGCGTTTCAAATACAATGCATCATAGATAATTATCAGAGCATGCTTGTTTGCATTGTTGCCACAAGTACGTGCGGTTAATGCAGACTTGAAAAGGTATCTATTTGGTGTTTGAACATCTTAACACGTCCTGTTTTTATGGCCATAAAGGGTAAAACCTATTCTTATTTTTTCATAATTTGATCCTGCCAAAAAAAGGTCCCATAGAGGTGATAGCTACGTTTGGGGAGGTTTCTACGGTTCGTTCTTTGAGGTCCAGTGCATTAGTGAAGCGCTGACCCAGTGGCCTGCTCACCGTTCCATGAACCTCACCACCTGAGTTCAATTCCCGTTCATGGCCAACATCACCGCCGAGTCATATCTGAACCGGTCCTGGGCCTCCACTTCACCAACTCGCACTGACTTGCGTGGTGAAGTATGGTACAAACAACTCTCTGTG